CTGCCTGGCAGTGGGTGAGTCTTCCTGGGTCCAGATTTAGGCCTCCACTGCCTGGCAGTGGGTGAGTCTTCCTGGGTCCAGATTTAGGCCTCCGCTGCCTGGCAGTGGGTCAGCCCTCCTGGGGCCATGCCTGGCTTTCAGCAGCCTTAACCTCTCACCTCCTCCAGCTGTTCTTCATGCACCTGCTGCCCAACTTCGCCGAGTGCTGGTGGGACCAGGTCATTCTAGACATCCTGCTTTGCAATGGTGGAGGCATCTGGCTGGGCATGACGGTGTGTCGTTTCCTGGAGATCCGCACGTACCACTGGGCCAGCATCAAGTAGGTCCCGCGGGCCCTGGAAGAGGCCCCCTCTGCTGGCCGCTCAGGACATAGCGAGTCACAGGTCCCCCTAATCATAAGAGCGGCTGCCTTTGGCCTCTGTGACTGAACTGTGCAGTAAGACAAGAAGCCAAGGAGGGGATGTAGGGAGAAGCTAGTCTGACCATCAGTGCAGATTTATAGGAACAGGTCGGATTAGCACAGCTTTCAGTGGCACACTGAGCAGACCATCCCGTATTAGTATCGGGAAACAAAGGCTGACCTTTGGCACACTAGTGGAATTCTAGAACAACTATGTGTTTTATCTAGGCATAGGATTAAGTCAGCATCTGTCAACCAATGTGCCGTGTGTGTGAGAGAGAAATACAAACATACACACACTGAATAAAATAAGTTTATATATTAATAGCAAAATTATAAATGACTTTGGTTTAGACAAATAAAAAGTTTTGTGTATAAAGCAACTTTTTTCATTTAATTGCCCAATAGGCTGTAATTGCACTTGTCACATGATCAAATGCAGCCAAGAATAAGACCACCCTACAACTGACACCCATTCATTTACGTTGTTTGGCAATTTTGCAAACCACCCTGCAGTAAAAAGACAAGATCATGGACAAATTGAGTCAACAGGTTAAGAGTAATGTGTTAATCAGTGGTGTAATTGCTGGGATAATTGATTCTTAGAATTAAACAAGTTAAGTCAGAGACTTGGTCAAGCAAGTCACGTCAAGTCATGGGCAGTCTTTAAGTAACTCTGGTGATTGACCTGTTGACTACGATTGACCAGGTGCGACCACTGCTATACATGAACACATACAGAAGTTGTGATCAGTAAATTTACAGTAACAGAATAAAGCTTTAAACCAGCACTGCAGAGTTTAGCCTCCTGATGCTACCCCTGCCCTCCTGTCAGTGTGTTAAGAAATGTTTATGAAATGTGACAATCACCAATATAATGTCTGCAAGAGCACTGGGACATTTAGCATTAATGTAAGTGGTAAATTTGCATGCTCAATAAGTTATTACTAGTTTAGCAACCTGTCCATAGGGATCTCTCTTTAGGGAAATGTGGAATGAAATTGGAAGTTATCTAGAAATCATAATTGATTATTTTTGGTGCTGATGCCACCATGTTTACTGCATGCTAGCATGTTGTTTCCCATCTTGTGAATGGGTTGTGGCTTCTGTCGTTTATGGGCACAAATGGCACAACATTTTTGAGGTTCTGATGAGAGCAATCAGAAACACAGTTGTGGAGCCGGTGATGACAGGGGAGAAACTAAGGTGGAAACTAATTTTAATTGCAGTGATAGATAGAATGTGCAGTTTTACCAGTCATTTATAGTAAGTCTAAGTCAATGTTGAAGTCAACAGTATCAAGTCTACGTCAGGTCTTTTTCTTAAATTGTAAAGCGAGTCTTGAGTCTGACTCGAATCATGCCATGTGATTCGATTTGCTAAGCTCTGTTTTTATCTGAGATACTTATTTGCATCAGTCTGGAATCTTGTTCCTTGTGATGTAGGTTAGCCAATTCAGGCCCCAGAGAAAATGCCATGCTTGTCCTTGCACTGTTACTCTGGTAGCCATTTCTGTTATTCCCTCATGTGCGACTGTACTTGTGATTATCACTGTGTGTTTGTGTGCTTAGGGACATCCACACCACCACAGGGAAGTTGAAACGTGCAGTGTTGCAGTTCACGCCCGCCAGCTGGACCTACGTGCGATGGTTTGACCCAAAGTCCTCCTTCCAGAGGGTGGCAGGCATCTACCTCTTCATGATCATCTGGCAGGTGAGCCAAGTGAACCACCCTGTAGGCAGAGTCCTACAAGGTTTACACATCCTGGTCCTTTAGCAGTCAGAGCGCTGCAAGGTTTACACATCCTGGTCCTTTAGCAGTCAGAGCGCTGCAAGGTTTACACA